CATTCCTGTTCCCTTTACAGAGGGACAATTACCCAGACATATAACCCAGGTCATATGCAATAATACTATATCTTTAAATGCTTGTATTTGTAGTTTTTTGTGTTTCCCTTTCCCTCCTTGGGTTTGTGTGTCGCCCTGAGTCCCGCTGGGAATAGGGCGGCATATAAATAAAATGAAACCTAAACCTAAACCTAAACCTACCTTGCTTTTTCTGGTAGACATCACCCTTGATTTAACCAGAAGTGATTTCAATGCTTAGATGATAATTATTTAAAGATATAGTATTATTGCATATGACCTGGGTTATATGTCTGGGTAATTGTCCCTCTGTAAAGGGAACAGGAATGTGGGAATGACATTGAGAGAAGGGGAGGAACCACTGTTAGGGAAACAGTCCGATAAGGGGCAGCTTAGCCCTCAGAAGGAAGGTGGACTGGGCAAACATCTTAAAAGTGATCCTTTCTAGTTAATTGGGCTGTAAAAGTAATGGGGGTGAAATTTATTTTCAGACGTTGCTTAACTTTACAATAAAAGAAACCCACTTTTCCCGGCTATGCTACTTGTCTGAACTATCTTGCAAGTAACACCCTCCTTGAGTAACTTTGCTTCCAGCCGTCACTAATGGGGGGAAAGCGCAAAATAATACATCAACTAATTCATAGAATAGAAGATCTTCCAATTAAGGATGGAAAAATTCATTGTCTACATAGCCAAGGGCATTTGTATCTAGTTTTTCAATGTCTAATAATAGACATTGACAGCTATCCCTATTAGTAATAAAAGACAGAATAGTGTATTGTGGTTCACAGAATAAAGTGTGTGTTTCTCTCACCAAAAAACCCTAAAATATTATATAGTGGTTTCTGTTAAGTTAAAAAAAAAGACAGAGCAATAAAAATGAAGAAAGAATAAAAATAGTGACGTGGCTTAAATCCCCTTATTATAGTTTATTTACATGTTATAAAGATGCTGAGGGTCAGCTTGGTGTAATGTAGATGACCCTCACTCTGTCAAGGACCTAGGACTACTCATCTCAAAAGATCTGAGCCCCAGAGCTCACTGAAACAGTGCCAAAAAGGCATTAAGAGTTATTAACCTAATTTTGCAAAGCTTCTTTTCCAATAACATTGTACTGCAAAATAGAGCATATAAAACCTTTGCCAGGCAAATTCTCAAATACAGCTTGTCTGTCTGGAATCCACACTGTATATCGGACATTAATACAATTCAGCGAGTTCAGAGCTTTTTACTAATAGAGTCCTCCACTCCTCTGCTCACAATAAAATACCTTATGCCACCAGGCTTGAAATTTTGGGCTTGGATGACCTAGAACGATTCCGCCTACCGTCTGACCTAAGCACAATACACAAAAGTATCTGCTACAACATCCTACTGTCAACGACTACTTCAGCTACAAGCGCAATAATACACATGGGCAAACAATAGATACAAACTCAAGGTTAACTGCTCCAAACTCGATTGCAGAAAAAATGACTTCAGCAACAGTTGGTCATGTGACTAGCCTGGAGACTTCTCCCTTTTTCGCGTGGGCTGGCAAGCTGAAAGGCCAGGAGCTATGGAGGAATATGCCTGGGAACCTTGCCCTGGCAGATCGTGGATGTCTGTGGTGGTGCCTTTACTATGGGAATGATTGGTGGAGGTGTCTTTCAGGCAATCAAAGGCTTTCGCAGTGCTCCGGTGGGTGTCAGGTAGAGCCTGGAATGCTCTACCTGACTCTGTTGTTACATCCCCAAACTCCCACAGCTTCAACCTTAAACTGTCTAGCGTGGACCTCACCCTTGACCCATTCCAGTCCAGCTTCAGGCCTGGCTACAGCACAGAAACTGCTTTGGTCGCATTGACCGATGACCTCTGGAGAACCAGGGACGGAGGCTCTGCCTCCATCCTGGTTCTCCTTGACCTTTCAGCGGCTTTCGATACCATCGACCATGGTATCCTTCTGTGACAACTGCGGGAGGTGGGGGTGGGAGGCACTGTTTTGCAGTGGTCCTCCTCTTACCTCTCGGACAGGTCGCAGTCGGTGTT